CCATTGTATAGAGAATGTGTTAGTTAAAACAAGAAAAAGAAGTGAGAGAAGTTTGAAAGAGAAGTAAGAGAGCGTTTTATCTCAACTATTAATGCATGTGCGGCATTTACCTTTTAATTGAGAAGTTTGAAAGAGAAGTAAGACCATGTTTTATCTAAACTATTAATGCATGTGCGGCACTTACCTTTTAATTAAGAAACTTGTCATGACTGCTTGGTTTTACATTATGATCAAGATTAACCTTTCAAAGGCAATTCAAAACGAAGTACCTATTTTTATTATAAATTCCAGCTGGGCAAAGGGCACCTGGGCCCGCCAGAAATGAAAACAGGCTTCTATCTTTAGGCCCAGGACCAGAATGCGGGACTTAAAATTGGGCCCAAAAGTGAGGCTGGCCCAAAAGCCGCAGACTGGCCAAGCATGTTGGCAGCCCCACCTGGAGTATGCCAAGAGAATTCTCCTGCAATGATCCCTTAATATACCCCTAGACCTGCAGATCGCAGGTCCCCTTTGGAGCTCCCATCAAAGTTGAGCTTGTAACACCACTTCTTGGGCCTGCAGGCTTTGGTAGCACTGCTGCAGCAATCTCCTTCCACTTTGTTTCAATGTCACTCATGGATAGGCCCCAGAATTCCCTTTAAGCTCTTGCCCATGTAGCAACTGTGGCCCTTATAATCTGTTTAATACTTTCAACTCCTCCGGTTTTTATTGTTGAAGCACCTTTCTTTCCTTTCCATTCCAACCATACCAGCTAGAGAAATGCCAATACCATTAAATCCACATGTAAGACCCACCTTGGGAAGTGGCAGGGAGAACCATTGCTTTGTCATGCCCTCAACAGGGGAGGATTGGACCCAAACAACTCCAAATAAATCCAAGAAAAGGTCTAAAACCATTTATTAAAGAGGCAGTGCAAAACCAAATGATATACCCTCTGCTTTGCATAATACACATATTCATGATCGCCATACCAGATTCCATCAAACTATTGAGGGTGAGCATTCTGCCTGGCACTACGCCTCAGTTTTATGGGGGCCAGGACTGACCACACTCTGCTAGCAATTGAGTTATCTGCTTCACTCCAAATAACAAGTTAATTACTTTATACATTGAACTAAAGGAAAATGCACCCCGTATTGTCTGGTCCCCAGAAGTCTCTATCCTCCTAGGTAAAAAGAAGAAAATCCTGAGCAAGAGCTGCAAACTTTGGAAGGCCTCAATCTCTCCATTCTTCAATAGTTGCCTTGGGCCTAGGGTTCAGATATTGTTCATGCCAGAGCCTTCAGCTAACTCTCCACAGTCACTTACAAGCTTTGGGGCCAGAGAAAACCAGGCTGGATAGGCTTCTTTAGAAGGCTGTGACCCACTCCAAGGGTCTGACCAGAACCTAGTCCTGCTCCCATTTCTTCCATATATTGTACAGTTTACACAAAGGCCAGCCTACAACGGTTCACCTATTTCCATGTTCCACAAACCCTTTGATTGGTTAGGTAGGCTTTTATTAATATTCTTCCATATGCCACAAAGCCTTTGATTGGTTAGGTAGGCTTTGATTAATATCCTCTCTCCTCACCATATTTCTTCTTTACAACTTCTTTCCATAGATGCTCACTTAGTAGACCATATCTCCACCACCAATTAGAAAGTAAAGCTGGTTTATTGACCTAATTGTCTTAAGACCAATTCCCCTTTGCTCCCAATCCCCCTTTGCTCTTTGGCCTATAGAGATACCTTTTCTTCTCTGCCCCAACCCACCATCCTGGACCCCATGGGTGAGTTGCTCCAACTAATCAACATGGTCAACACAGTCATGCACTTCAGTTCTAGCACCAGCCATGGTCACACTCGTTGACCAACATTTTGGCTCTGATACCAAATGACATGGGGTAAATTCTTACGGCCCACCCTGTGTGGTGCCAAGCCTAAGTTCTACCTAGACAAAGGCTAGACCAGCCTTCCAGAAACCCACACAAGAAAATAGAGCATGAACACACACGAGGGTCACACACAAGCAATAGTCAAGGGCTGTAGCCCAATAGTATTCCACTATACACTTGAAATATATACAGCCACGGTGTCCCCACCAAGAGCCAGGCAAAGGGGTCACGGTTTACAAATTCAAACACACAGCCTTGCCAGCACCATGACCTGCATAGAGGCCACCTGGCCACCTCATCAAGTTCTCTATGTGATTGCTACTAAGGCTGGAATTGTGGAAAGGAACAGACAATATATGGGGAAACTGGACAAAAAGTAGATTTGATTAAGGTGATCCTCCCACCCAAAGAAAACAGTCTTGTGTTCTATCCTCTGGAAGCTCTTGAGGATGCCACCCTCACTACTATTTGTGGCTTACCTGAGCAAAGGAAAATACCAAAATACCTATTGGGCAGGCTATCAATCCCACAATGAATACCCTCAGTGAGCTCGATCAGTTTGTGGACAGGAACCAACACTTCCATCAGCCTCATTTTTTTCCCTGTTCACCCTGCGACCTGAGGCCATGTAAAAATAGTGAAGGAACAACCACAACTTCCCCATCTGCTCTTTAGTAGAATTTCGAAAAAATTTGGGTAGCATCCGCATTGTGAGTGATATATAAACAGACCACTCTAAGAAACCTAAATTCCTAACAATCACTTAGCCTTGTAGACTCCATGAAGCCAACTACTTAAAGCCTCTGTTAAAAATGAAAAGAAAACGGAGACAAAGTGTCTCCCTGTCTTACTCCTTTGGGAGCTTTCAAGAAACCCTTAGGGGAGCCATTAATGACAATAAAGAGGTGGACAATGCATAAACATTCTGGAATCCATTGATTCCATCTTACAAACAACTGGAATTCTGTCTCTATATATTGAATGGATGCATTCATGGACTGTAGATGCACTATCCAAGATTTGGCTATCCTTGACAAATGCTGCCTCAGGTAAAGAAATAACGTGATCCATCTCTTCCCTGAATATAATGATGCTAAGGCTTTTGAAAAAAATTTGTAAATACTCTCGAGCATACTTATAGGATGCAGATCAAACAAATTTCGGGTTGATTAATCACATAAATTTATGTGAAACTGGCATTAGCCTGGACATAGTTGCCAAGAAAAGTTAAATTTACAATTTTCAAGGGGTAAACCAAAAGAGATGATTTTTTAATATATACAATGGCAATCAAAAGGGCATCCACATTCTTAAGATGCATATACTTTTGGAATTAATCTTTTTAAGAAGATAAGCCCATTTTATAGCTCCTTGTACTAGACTAGAAATCGCACCTTTGTATGTGTCGCTATCCCACTCATTCTCTGCATAAAATTTAGCACAACCCTTTCTGCCACCAGAATACTGTGTGCGCATCCTATAAAATAGTTTGTTTTTAGATACAAAAATCTATTAGCATTTACATAATGGGCGCGGTTTGTATAGAGCCGAGCCTCTAAACAATCAAATTAGAGCCCACCTTCAAATAGTGTCGAGAAATGTGGTTTCAATCCTGGAAATCTTTGTGGTAGCCTTAAAATATATTTTCATCTTTAATTACAAAGTATAAAGTTTCAAAAATAGTGTAGATCGAGAAGATCTATGAAAATCTTGAAAATTGACAGTCCAAAAATGCGTCACAAGATGTATTATTTCCAAAACTTGAAATCCATTTCTTCTCATGTCCATGTATCTTGATGTCGAGATGATCAATTTGAGGATATTTGAGCATCAAACAAAACAACCTCTTCGGGTGAAATTTTTTAGGCGGGCTCTAATTTGATTGTTTAGAACCTCGGCTCTATATCAAAAATTTCGTTACATAATAATTACCAGAAATCAGCTTTTAAGAAAAGTCAAGTAACATTATACGCACCATACACTTTGCCAAACTGGACACCTTTGTTTATATCATCTCCATCACTCCGAGACCATTCAACCTTACCAAAAAATTAAAGAAAATTATGCTGCATCTTAATCTACTACAATAAAACAAAGGTTGCACACTTCCCCCTCAAACCAGAGTTAGCCCAAGGTTTCAACCTTTAATAGAGGATCAACTTCCATGAAAACGATGTCTGCAACACCAATTCCAGCGATAACACCATCCTCCTTGGCTAAGAAATGGGCTTCCCCTTCCTTGTCAGCTGGAATAGTGGCTAAGCAACTCACATCACCTGCCACCAGAAACAAAACAACCAAAAAGAAGACGAATAAGAACAGGTGTCAACAAAAATATGAAGACATAGGATCCTTGTATGAGGACATCAAACAAGATGAAGCAAAATGGGATACACCAGGAATATCTTCAAATAGCATTTTTAATAAACAACGATGCCTTTTGTATGCCACTTAGTTCATATATAGAAGTACTTTATAAGCAACAGGAGTGGTAAATACAAATAACTAACATCTGCCACATGTTGTAATTGTGCATAGTTAGGTGCAGCCTTCGAGCAGCATCGCAAGATTTGGGTATCTTCTATTCTTAGGTCTGCTAATCCAAGTAATCCAAAATAAATAAGTTGTAAAAAGAGAGAAGGGGAAAGATTTAGCCACTCTCTTTTTTTGTTACTTGGCCGCCCACCATGTTAGGTGGACAATTGAAAAAAGTGAATGGCTGCATCTGCCCTCATATGGAAATACCAAAATAGCACACACGGAATGATCGATGTAAGACTCATTTGGCATGATATTTTAACAAATTATAAGAACATCACCAATGAGGCTGTTCTATGGATCCTTTTGATACATTGCAAGCATTGGACGATAATGGATTCCAGCCATTCAGTCATATTTGGGCAAAAGGGAAGCAGAAGATTGTATGCAAGATTTGTCATCCATAAAGCCAGTGAATTATTCCAAAAACCATACAATTAACTTAATTCATAAATAGTTCCTATCTAGTTTACTGAGGCTTTAAAAACATTGACCTTAAAATGGTTGTAAATGTCTT